ATAGTTGCTGTTACTCTCCTTTGTTTTTTTCACTTGCATGGAAAATCTTTTTTCATACCTTTACTTTCAGTCTGTGTTTGTCCTTACAGGTGAGTGAGTCTCTTGCAGGCAGCATCAAGTTTTGCTTTTGATCCATTCAGCCACTCTGCTTTCTGAATGGAGAATTTAATTCATTTACATTCAAGGCTGTTATTTATAAAGTAAGGACTTACTACTGTCATTTTGTTCACTGTTTTCTAGTTGTTTTATTTATACTTTGTTTTTCTATTCCTCTCTAATTGTCTTCCTTTTTGGTTAAGTGATTTCCCCTAATAGTATGTTTTGATTCCTTGTTTTTCACTTTTTAAAGTTTCTATTATAGATTTTTGATTTGTGGTTACTATAACACTTACAAAAAGTATCTTATAGTTACAGCAGTTTATTTGCAGTTGGTAACAACTTCTCTTTTGTCACAAAAGCACTATATTTTAAATTTATGTATTTTTTATTTTTTGACCCACAAATTTCTGGGAAAGCACTACATTTTTATTCTACTCCCTGTCCCCACACATTTTGAATATTTGATGTCATCATTTACATCTTTTTATGTTACATCTCCCTTAATAAATTATTGTAGTAATTTTTAATAGTTTATAATTTATTTTCTTGATTTCTTGATTATTTTCTTGATAAATTAATTACTTAGATCTTTAATTTAAATTACAACCTTTAAATTTTATAGGTTATAATTTAACCTTTAAACTAAAGATCTAAGTAATTAACACACCACCATTATGGCATTAGAGTACTCTGAATTAGACTTTGTACTTCTTTCACCATTAAGTTATCTCCTATCATGTTTCATGTTACCAATTAGGGTCCTTTTCTTTTAGGTTAGAGAACTCCCTTCAGCTGTTATTGTAAGGCAGGTTTAGTGGTGATAAGTTGCCTTAGCTTTTGTTTGTCTGGGAAAGTCTTTATCTCTCCTTCATTTCTGAAGGACAGCTTTGCCATCTAAGTATTCTTGGTTGGCAGTTTTTGTTTTCCTCTTTGGCACTTTCCGTAAATGTAGTGGGGAAACCCTGCAAGTGCTGTGGCAAGGGTCTGAAGCCTCAGCCTGTTCCCATATAAATATTGATCCCATATAGATATTGATTTAGAAAAGAATTAGAAATGTAGGCACATAGTTATTCCTTTAGAAAATCATATATAATCTTATAGTTACTCACTTATAATTATAAAGATATATATGAATCTGGAAACCATCATTCTCAGCAAACTGACACAAGAACAGAAAATCAAACACTGCATGTTCTTACTTATAGGTGGATGTTGAACAATTAGAACACAGGGACACAGGGAGGGGAGCATCATACACTGGGGTCTGTTGGGGGGTGCCAAGGAGGGACAGTGGGGGGGCTCTATTTTTATTGTACTTTAGGTTCTGGGGTACATGTACAGATCATGCAGGATTGTTGCATAGACAAAACACATGGCAATGTGGTTTGCTGCCTCCATCTCTCTGTCACCTACATCTGGCATTTCTCCCCATGTTATCCCTCCCTGACCTCCCCACCGCCCCCAGTGTCCCTTTCTTGGCCCCCCCACCAATAGACTCCAGTGTGTGATGCTACCTTCCCTGTGTCCCTGTGTTCTCATTGTTCAACACCCACCTATGAGTGAGAACATTCGGTGTTTGGTTTTCTGTTCCTGTGTCAGTTTGCTGAGAATGATGATTTCCAGATTCATCCATGTCCCTACAAAGGACAAAAACTCATTGTTTTTTATGGTTGCATAGTATTCTATGGTGTATATGTGCCACATTTTCCTAGTCCAGTGTATCATTGATGGTCATTTGGGTTGGTTCCAGGTCTTGGCTATTGTACACAGGGCTGCAGTGAACATACGTGTGCATGTGTCTTTATAATAGAACTATTTATAATCCTTTGGATATATACCCAGTAATGAGATTGCTGGGCCAAATGAGATTTCTATTTCTAGGTCCTTGAGGAACTGCCACACTGTCTTCCACAATGGTTGACCTAATTTGCACTCTCACCAACAGTGTAAAAGTGTTCCTATTTCTCCACATCCTCTGCAGCATCTGTTGCCTCCAGATTTTTTAATGATCACCATTCTAACCGGCACATTTTATTTTTTAAAAGATTAGAAATTTTACTGACCAAAACCTAAATACAATGTCTTTCTGATTAAGTTAGATAGAAATCCTTTTGTAGAGATATGCTTTGATCTTTGATTTTAGGGTGTCATCAACACCCATAACAGTCCAGTTTTTGGAGGATAAGAGCCCAGGGTGGCCATTTAGGGCAGAGTGACTGGCCCCCATGTCAATTAAGAAATTAATACTCTTACCTGCCATGTTAAGAGTCACCCAAGACTCCCTCCTTACTATGCCTTTTGCGGGAGTCACTAGGAACCTCTGGACCTTCCAGCCCTCAGTTATGGCGGCCAGTCCTCAGTTAGGGCCATTATGGCATAAGGTGTCTTCCTCTTCCTTCACAGCTCAGGGCAATCCCTTCTCCAATGACTCTACAGCCTACTTTGAGAACAGGGTCTGAGTGGGCTGCCCTGACTGGGATAGTTCTTCCTCCAATGTCCTGGCTTCCCACACTTGAAGTAGCAATGATTACCTGCAGGTTTGCTATTAGGCTAGTTTGGTCTGTGGGTGAAATATCCCCCTGGGTAACCCTGAGGTTGCAGGGTGCTGCTTAAGTGACTGCTATCATTTGGGCTTGTTGTCTATCCCATCATTTGCCATACAGGGTTCTTTCGGCCTCTTCAGGCTTGCCCCTGTTATTGAATACCCAGAAAGCCACATCAAACATTTGATTAATAGGTCTTTGGAAACATAGCTTTCATTTCCTGTGATTTCTTTTGATTAGTTGGTATCAAGTGATACTGGCCTTACAGAATAAGTTGAGAAATGTTCCATTTTATTATATTTTGAGAAATTTTTTTATGAAGAAATAGTATTAATTATTCTTTTTTAAAATTAAGTATAATTTCCCATTACAGCAATGTGATTGATGGCCTTATTTGCTGTAAGTTTTAAAATTACTAATTCAACTTCTTTACTTATTATAAGTCTATTCAGATTATCTGTATACTTTTGAGTAAGTTGAGTTAGGCAAGCTTGGCCTAGATCTTATGGGGACAGGGAGAGATCCTGAAGACACCTGTTCTCTACTCTGACTCCGTATTTAGTATGTTTCTACTCCTAGCCCCTTTCTCTCTCCCTCTTCTCTCCTCTCCTGTATTCTGAGGCCCATAAAATATTAGGTCCTTTTGCCTGACACTCCTTCAGCAGTGAGATGATCCCTGCTTCTGTGTTGACCCACCCAACCTTTGCCCAGTGCAGCTCCACAGGGATAAATGAAACAGTGTGGAAGTTGGAACTTACTCTACATCAACCTCTTGCTTATGCTATCACAGTAAATGATTAAACACTTGACTGTTGCTTTCATTTTAGCTAGTTGCTTAAGTTGGTTACTCACACACTTGGAGAATCAGATGTGTCAAGCTCAGTTTCTTGACAGAAATACAACCAATATTTGAGTATGAAACTTTTATTCTGCAACTTTGTGGAATTTATTTGTTTGAGCTGATTTTTAAGAAATTCCTAAGAATTTTCTATGCACAAGGTCATTTCACCTTACACCTTTCCAATCTGGATGCCTTTTCTTTCTTTTTCTCATTTAATTGCTCTGGCTAGAACTTCCACTCTAATGCCAAAGAGAAGCAGCAACAAAGGACTTCTTTGATGATGTTTCTTATAAGGAAAGCATCCCAGTCCAACAATTAACTGTAAGTTTAGCTGTGGTTTTCTTATCCACCCTTTATCAGCTTGAAGAAGTTCCTTTATATTTCTAGTCTGGTGTGTGTGTGTGTGTGTGTGTGTGTGTGTGTGTGTGTGGCAGGGACTTGGGGGCTGGGGGCAGTCAGGAAAGGATTTTGGAATTGTCAAATGCCTTTAGTATATATAATGAGATATATTTTATTTTCTTTATTTTATTAACATGATCTATTACATTGAGTTTTAAATGTTTAAATAACCTTGCATTCTTTGAATAAATCTCATTTGGTAATTATGTTTGCTACATTTGGTTTGCTGATATTTGTTGAGGAATTTTCCATCTATATTCATGAAGAAATTGGTCTATAGTTTTCATTTCCTGTGATGTCTTTGTTTTTTTGGTATCAAGTGATACTGGCCTCATAGAATAAGTCGGGAAATGTTCTGTTTTCTTCCATTTGGGGGAGATTTTTATAAAGAAATAGTATTATTTTTAAAAATTAAGTTATTTGCTATTATAGCAATGTGATTGACAGCTTTATTTGGTGCAAGTTTTAAAATTACTAATTCAACTTCTTTACTTTTTAGAAATCTATTCAGATTGTTTATCTTGAGTGAGTTTGTAGATTGTATCTTTCTTGGAATTTTTCCTTTTATGTAAGTTTCTAACTGTTCACCTAGAGTTGTTCACAGTGTTCTTTTATAATCCTTTCTATATCTGTAAGATTGCTAATAATGTTTTTTTCTATATCTCTAATTTTAGTAATTTGAGTCTTTCATTTTTTGTTGGTAAATCTAGCTAGTTTGTCAATTCTCTTAATTTTTTCAAAGAAATACTCTTGTTTTCATTGATTTTCTTATTCTTTTTCATTTTTCTATTTTACTTATATGCATTCTAAACAAGCTTTATGCTTGCTTTGAGTTTAGTTTGCTTTTCTTTCAAAATGGGAGATTTGCAATAAAATGCTGAGAAAATGATGCAAATTCTAAAGGAAAATAGCTTTTCCATCTCTTCCACTCTCCAAATAGGAGTGACTCTCAACAAGAAATTTAATACTCCATACTCCATAGAATTTTCAGTGGGAAGGGTAGAGTAAAATATGTATTTTTTTTTTACTGTAACCTTGTCCTATTTTCAGAGCTAGAATTAGAAAAATTATCATATTCATATCAAACTTCTAACTAAAAAAAAAATTCTCAGTTTTTGCTTCAGCAAACCATAGGTTTAAAAGCAAAGTCCTATCCAACTAACACTCTGTCCACTCCTTACATAGACCTCATTCTCTGCAGTGCTCTGTGGAGGGCGCCCTTCACCTGAGCATTCCTCAGGCTGTAGATCAAGGGGTTCAACACTGGGTTAAAGAGACTGTGAAACAGGGACAGCATTTTCTCCTGCTCCTCTCGTTGATTAGAGTCTGGGACCATATAGACCACCATGGCTATGCCAAAGAAGAGTCCAACCACACACAGGTGGGAGGAGCAGGTGGAGAAGGCCTTTCTGCGACCTTCCTTTGCCTGGATCTTCAGGATGGCCCAGAGGATGTGCATGTAGGAGATCAGCATCAGACAAAGAGGCCCTACCAAGACAAACATACAGGCAGCAAATATGACCACTTGGTTAACCCAGGTGTCAGCACAGGCCAGCTTGAGAATAGATAGAATTTCACAAAAGAGGTGGTTCACATCCCGGGGCCCACAGAAGGGCAACCTTAGAAGGAGAATTGCATGTACCAGGGAGAGGGCAAGCCCACATGACCAGGACATGAGAGCCAGGATCGCGCACACTCTCCAGGTCATAATGACAGTGTACTGGAGAGGGTGGCAGATGGCCACATACCTATCATAGGACATCACCACCAAAATCAAGCACTCAGTAGCAGCAAAAGCCAAATACAAGAATGTCTGCAGTATGCATGAAACAAAAGAGATGGTTCTTTTCTTGTTCAGCAGATTTGTCAACATCTTGGGAACATTGTTGGAAGCATAGGACAGGTTGATAATGGCCAGGTGTGAGAGGAAGAAGTACATGGGGGTGTGCAGACTGGGGTCTAGACAGATGAGTCCCAAGATTATGCCATTTGCCATCAGGCTGAAAATATATAACAGGGAGAAGATCCAGAAGAGGAGCAGTTCCCTCTCCGCACTGAGCTGGAATCCCACCAGGATGAATTCTGTGACCCATGATTGGTTGCCTCCCATTCCTTAATGGCAGTCTGTCAAGAACTGAAGTATGATAGAAAAGTCAAAAAATTTGAGTTTTTATCTGAAAATGAACCGAGATAAAGGCTGTGTCCTTGTTCCTATTAGATAAGCCCCTTCAAGTTCCTAAGATTTGTTACCTGTTTCTAGAATTTAATTATGAAATAAATTTAAACTTACAGACAGTGTCACAAATTTTGCAAAGAACTCTCACTTATTTTCATGCAGATTCAGCATGTGTTAACATTTATTATTAGTCTTATTATCTTTATACAATTTTTATTTTTTGGACCATTTGAGATTGAAGTGTAGGAATAACATTTAACTTTAAATTTCTGATTTTTGTTAGTAAGGAAAAACTAATTCCCACCAGCTTGACTACAATGTAAGTATTAAAATCAGAAAATTTAATATTGGCATTGACACATTTCTTTTCTCTAATATACAATATTCTCCCTTCAACCACACAAGCTCAGGACCTAATCCAAGATTATGCATTATATCTAATGTCATCTGTCTTTAGTCTCCTGTATCTATAATATTTACTCAGTCTTTTTGTGCATTTCTGAATACTGATGTTTTGAAGAGTTCTTCAGCATAATGTCCAACAATATGAGAGTGTACAATATTCCTCAATGTTTTTGTTCAAATCATTCACTTTCTGCAGGAAAAATAGTATTCTTCTGTGTGTATTCTGAGCCAAGAATATGATGCTAATTTGTCCTATTATTGGGGTGAAGCTAACTTGGATCACTTGGTGAAGATGGTGCTTCCCAGATATCTCCATTGTGTGATTATTTTTTCCTAATTAGTTTCTGGAGTACCTATTAAAGTTATTATATATGTAGTTTGTTCCTCATAACTTCACTATTTTAGTATCCATTGATTATCTTGCCTAACTCAATTATTAGTAATGGTTCAAAATGTGTTGTTCTAACTATATAATTGCTTTTACATTTTTAGATGGCAATTTTAATATAAAAATGCTACATTCATTTATCTATTATCTATTTATCTACCTGTTATCTATCATCTATCTATCAGTATAGACTCATGGATTTTTTTTTTTTTATTCAATGGGTTGTACTTCATTGTTATCATTTTTTGGTGCCAATTTTCCTACATTTGGGCCTTCTAAGCTTGCTCCTCTTTCTTTTTAATATATTAGCATAATATTTGATCAGTTCCTTCCTTCTGATATGACCAGATGTTTCAGTTCCCTTTGTATATTCCCCACTTCAATCACAAAACAGCCATTTTCTTCAAAAGTGATAATCACTTTTAATAAAGAATTATATTTATAAGCCAATATTTATATTTATATAGGTTTTATTGAATTTTAATAATTTATATTTTTATCATGATAGTTTGTATATTTATCATGATTTTTATCATGAGGACAGCATGAATTTCTGGTATTCTCCATCAAAAACAAGAGTATACGATTTGAGAAAGCATACAAATTGTTACAGGGAATAATACTTTCTCAAGGTTACTTCTGAAAATAATAGAACTTAACTGACTTCCTTTATGGTGTCACTAGCATTGTAGAAAATGGTTTTGATATTTATTATTTTATTTTTGGTGAAAAATACATGTTTGTAATTCTACTACCTTATTAATCCTCAGGTTTGTATTATTTTCTTGCTTTTATTCTTATTTAGAAAATTATAGAATCTTGAACATTTTAGATTTTGTGTGGTCCCTTGTGGAAACAATGTGATACATACTTTGTATGAGATTTTGATTGCAAGTTTTAAAATCTTAGAAAAACATGAAACTCCAGTTAAAGGACTAAATAGATGACATCTTGAAATATGCAAACAAAAGTGATCCTTTTTAATAATTGTGCAGTTATACACTTTTGCTGTTTATCTATTTCATATAGATCAGTATTACAAAAATTGTGTGAAAATACTGTGTTTAACTAGCTCTATCATATATTATGAACCATTTTCCATGTCAAAATAATTCTCTGCAACATACTTTGAACAGCTATTATTTAATACAAATATTCTAATTTACTTAATGTATTATCTCATCATTAGATCATGTGCTATACAATGCTTCAGTAATTAAATTATATATGTAAATGTTTGTATTTGATGTCTTTTTCATGAAATTTTAATAGTAAATTCCAAGACTCAGAAGAGCTCAGTCAAGTCAATTACTTTATGTATGTATCTCTCTACTTATCTAAAAATCAAACAAGCAAAAATCTCAAATCTATTAAGGCTTGTTACCGTTAAGATGCCACCTAGTGGAAGAAGATGTCTAATTTAGCAATCATGATGCTAGAATCTCAAATTAACCTTCTGTTACTCCCCACGTTCCATATGGTCCCATTCGAAAGAACCATCTTAGCATTGAATGGATTTCCCACCTAGACAGCTTTTTACAAATACTACTAAGGACAAGAAACACAGTTTTCTCATGTTTGATCTAATCTAGTGTTCCCTTCTCAATTTCAGTTTCTGCCTTCGAGGAAGTCCTGCTTCGTAAGCGAATGGCATTGAGAAATCAGTCAACCTTTCATATACTTTAAATATAGGATAATATCTTTACTCATACAGAAATTATAAGCTAAACAATAATTTAAAATAATCAATGCCATAGCACTTAAAAAGTTTTATAAATATAATTTCATTTTACTGCACATAGCTAATGGCAAGTTTATGAAGCAGACGCATTCCCAGTTATAAGTTAAACCTCTTTATATGATGAATATAATTTCAGTCTATACTTATTATTGACTTCATTTTTTAGTGCATAAGAATGTAAGATGGATTCAGTAATTAGAACTTGAGAATCTTGACTATCCTCTTAGAAGGCATAAGTAAATGTAAATTCTCAGCCATGCCTGTATTTAAGTTGGAAAAGTCGTATGACTCTTTCAAAAATACTAGGGTCATCACTATTCTTATTTACTAGCCTCATCATATAAGTTTGAAGGGGAGTTGTAGTGGAATCATAGCCTCTTCTTGGAAGGATTTTCTTGCATGTTTACAACCAGTTACTATTAAAAGAAAGGAGACAGCCTGGTTCATCTTATCTAGGCCCCACTGAAAGTCTACTTGATAGAAGGCCTACAAAGAGAGTCTTTTCTATTCTAGAAAATTAGAGTAGACTCATGAGGGTAGGTTCTTTAGGCACCTATTAAAGGTATAGGCTTGGTCAATCATAACCCTTTATAACAGTTAAAAGAGTTATGTCCTCACTATGATGATATAGACAAATCTCAAGGTAAAAATCATAGAGGAAGAGGGATTGATACCAAATGTCATTTATTTGAACGGAGATACCCCTTCACCAGATAATGAATGGTAATATATCTTATACTTCTTTATATTTCTTATAATATTACACAAGCAGTATAATATTATGAGACATAAAGAAGTATAAGACATTTTTATACTTATTTTATAAATATAAGTAAATAGATAAAAGTAGACACTCAGAAAATGTTTATTACTTAAATGAGTGACATTTTTAGTTATACATTTAGTCATTCATTTAATATATTTATATTAAATGTACTCTAAACTATACACATATAACATATAGGATATAGTAAATGTATATAATATATATTTTTATCTATTAGCCAAGACCTGATTTATATATTTTTTTAAAAAACATTACAGTTACAATTTGATTATTTGCAAATTTAAAATAATTAAAAACAGTGCTTATAAAGGATATATTCGAATTAGCATAATGATAGGGACTATATTTTGTCTGTAGATGAAATGCCACACCTAAATGTACTGTATATGTGGTGGACTGATGATGACCCCAAAAAGATATATCCCTATCCTAATCCTCAGCACCTATGAATGTTGCCTTATTTTGAAAGCAGGTCTTTACAGATGTGATTAATCTAGAAATCTTAAGATAATCTTCAATTTTGTGGGGGAGCCCTAATTCCAACAACAACATTTCTTATGCAATAAAGGCAGAAGAAGATTTGAAACAAACTGCTGAAGGCACACAGAGGCAAGGCGATGCAAACACGGGGCAGACAGAGATGTGGCCAGACACTGAGGAATCCTGATCATCCCCAGAAGCTGGAAGAAGAATGAATATATTCTCCTTTAGGATTCCCAAAGAAAGCAAAATTTTACTAGATTCCAGAACTGTGAAAGAATAAATTTCTATTGTTTTATTCAACCACATTTGTGGTAACTTGTTACACAAGTGGTAAAAAAACAACTATAGTGTCATACAGTTACTTTGAATCAATGCTTGAGGACAATTTCACAGTAATGGATTTTTGAAGCAAGTGCTTCATATGGAGGTGAAATCACCTGAGAGGTAGGCTTGAAGATACACATCTCAGCATTGTGAACTTTTGCAAACTAAGCCTAAGACGGATCAGTCACATGGCAGTGTTTCTTCGAGATCAATAACTCAATTAAACAGAAAGGCAAAACCAAAAATTCTTAAATTTCTGTAAGTACGTTTTTGAAGAGGGTCTGTATAAATATGCAATAAATTATTTTGTTACAATGAGATATATTTCTACAGTATGACAAGTGGGGGATAGTAAAATCATACTGCAAAATCTTTCTTAAACAGAATTGAACATAATACTCAGTGTCTGAAACATTTAATTTCTGAATATAAAGGATAACAATACTGTTGAAGATAACTCAATCTATTATTATCCAGTAAAAACATTTGTTTCTTGATATGTTAGTCTGGTGATTTTTTCTGGATTCGTCAATCTTTTTTTTCTTGAGATAGAGTCTTACTCTGTCACCCAGGCTGCAGTGCAGCGACTCCATGTCAGCTCACTGCAACCTCCGCCTTCTGGGTTCAAGCAATTCTCCTGCCTCAGCCTCCTTAGTAGCTGGGACTACAGGTGTGTGCCACCACAGTGGGCTAATTTTTGTATTTTTTAGTAGAAATAAGGTTTCACAATATCGGACAGGCTGGTCTCGAACTTTTGACCTTGTGATTTAACTGCCTTGGCCTCCCAAAGTGCTGGGATTACAAGCATGAGCCACCGTGCCTGGCCTGTTCAATCTTTTTGTTGTTGTTATCCTTTCCATTTGCTGTTAAAAAACAGACAACATTAAAAAATAAAATTGCATGCAGAGTAACATCTTTAAGTGGCTAACACACTGGAATGGAGAACAAAATATCACAGCGATGATGCCTACATTTCACTTTCCCAGTAGATTAAATGAAACAACAGCTGTTCAGAAAACAAAAGGTTTTCATGATCAGTATGAGCTGTTTTCCACCCAGGCCATCCTGCAACCCAGAATGTTTCTTCAGCTAGAGTGCTCTATTCCATTTCTCCAACTCTTAGTGTAGTGATAGCCTGGGATAGTTCCCCCAAAGACATAATTCTATGACAAATTACCTTTTAAACTCTTTCAGATAGAAAAAGATGTACTGTAGCTGTTGATAGAATTTTCTTTTCCATTGAGAAAGGGTTTTCCTGGCCAAGTATAGCTTTATTTCGGCTAGGTAATGCCTAAAGTCCTTGCATTAATTTGGCTGTCTCAGAGCCTTATTCAGAGACCTGGATAAAAAGCCCCTCCTTCTCTGAGCTCATTCTCCTTGAGACAATGGGGATAGCTAGCTCTAACCTCCGCCAACAATGCATATTGGGAGATGATGGTGAGAGAGGTGCTGGGGGAGTCTTGGGACCCCTGTTCACAGCAGAGCAGGACGACGCTCCTTGGGAGGAGGAGAGGGACATTGGTGTCTATTTCAGCTACCTGCAATCTATAATTTGATTCAAGAAGGAAGGTCACCCAGGGATGTTGTTCTTCCAGCACAGCCATGGTGATTTCTGCAGTCATCTTGTCCTAGTTCAACTACCTGTACTGGAAACCACGTCCCAGCAGAAATGAGTATCTTCTATAAAAGGAGATGCTAGCACTAGACTTTCCCTCAGGAAAATACTTTGACCTAGAATAAACCCTGCAGAGATGAGAAACATACCACTAAGATGAATATAGACTCCTACTCCCTCTGGCAGCCTTCGTAGGATTAAATTCCAGATATGGGCGAATTCATTGGACTCACTGAAGTTTCTTCAGCTTACTCCAGGAGCATAGCTTTTACTTTAGAATCAGATGAATAAAAACGTTCTTGAGTTTCTATTGAGAATTAAATTCCCAGAAGGAAAATAAGATATACTTATTTGTCTTCTCCTTGAGGGGTAGTGGGAAGAGCTCTGGATCTTCTCTCTGGAGGAATACAAAGATTTTCTGATTGTCCTCCCAGGAAAATGATGAGGACCAGGCAGGGCAGATAATGGCATCACACTATTTCTGCACAAGCTTTCACAGATCTCAAGGGTCATAAACACGAGGGAGATATCACAAATTACAATATCCAAACTCTTAAAATTATTTTAGTTTTATTACTTTATACTTTCCTAAAATCTCCACGAAGGTACAAGGGAGGTCTTGACTTTCAGATACTTGAGAGTTGGTTTTCACGGAACCAGGTGTGAAGACTCTGAGAAGGAACAGACCCCTCAATGCCAACGTTTATTTCCATTTCCAGTAGGAAGTGATGGATCCTAATGAAAATGGATTAAAATAGCCATAAGGATAAATTATTGAGCCCTTTTTATGTTTTGGAAAATGTGATAAATGCTTTATGTATTTTAATCTGATCATTATCCTCATTTTACAGATACGAAGACTGACATTTTGATATACTCTCTGCTATTCTTTAAGTGTGGTTGAGGGACTCTTAAGAATTTCTGAGAAGCTCTCAAAGAGACAGTGGAATAAAAACTATTTTCACAATACTATTTAGACAGTTTTAATATTTTTTTACCCTTGTTCTCTCATGAGTGCACAATGAATTTTTTCAGAGGTTAGCTGATATGTGATATGGCAACAGATAGAATAAAGAGAATATAAAATTCAGCTTTCTATTTAGCTGAATATTTTAAGAATTGCAAAAGTGTGAAGTAAGTTACTTTTAATAAAAGATATTTATAAGAATATCTTGTGAAGAATATCATATTTATATTAACCTATATTGGAAGCCATTTAAATTAACTAAAAGTAAATATCTAATACATTTGTCAGTTTGGATTTCTATTATAATAACATCAACAAATATACTTACATAAATGAAATATCAGATTCTCAGTAATTTTTAAGAATTTAAAGATGTTCTGAGACCAAAAAGAGAATTATCGAGCTAAATGGTAGATCGCCAATCTAGCAAGGACAAGAGCTGGAAGCAAATGATCTTTATTTAATAACAAAAGTGTATTCACCATTCACGTTCTATTGCAGCTGCAACAAATTAACAAAAACTTAATGGCTTAAAACAACACAAATCTATTATCTCACAGTTTCTATTGGTCAGAAGCCCTGGTGGTCAGCTGGATTCTCTCTAAAACCAAGTCAAGGTGTTAGCCTGGTCTGCAATTCCCATCTGAGACTTGGGATCCTCTTTCAAGTTTAATGGTTGTTGGAAAAATTAGATTCCTTGTGATTATAGGGTAGTCCATTTGTCCTTGCTGTTTTCTGTCCTCTGGGATGGGCTCAGCTGCCTGCTGCGACTCTGGTGCCTACACATGGCCACTTCTGTGTTTAAATCAGCAGTGGTTTGTTGAGTGCTTCACACAAGTCAAATCTCTCTGACTTCCTCCTCTGTTACTAGGTGAAAAAAATTCCCAGCCTTTAGAAGACTCATCTGAGTGTTACCATGGTGACTTTCACATTTAAGATCCATTGACCAACAAAGCCCCTTCACAACAGACCCTAGATTAGTGTTTGGTTAAATAACATAAGCGTGAAGGGGGCCATTAAGATAATTCTGCCTATCCCATAAAGCCATTTCATCTTAACCACTGAGCAGTATTTTCATTTTTTAGATCCTATACTTTTTCCTTGAACAGAAGCTGTTCTATCAATGCTATCTTTATTATGGGCCTCAGCTATTGCTTCAGATTGCCTGCCCAAATAACATGGGCCTGAACCCAAATGCAGAAGGGAACAATTTCCATTTCTGTGTCTTACTCTAAGCGATATGATTAGAATACTTCAAAGTTTTATATGAGTTTATATAAATACAATTGAGTTAACACTTTCTGATTAACACCTGGCACTTGGCCTAGGTCCTCTTACTGGAATAATACTTTTCAGAGCATCTGTATTTAGAAAGGCATTTATATAACAGGTACAGCAATTGTGTCAGCATAAATATGCCTAACATTTGTGAGTCAGTGTGGAGTAGGGATAGATCTATGAAAACAGTTAATCCATCCTATAAAGTCATGACATACACATACAATTTCATACTTTTTTACTAATCTGATTACCTGCTCTCCCCCTTTATTTGTATCCTGTGATAACCTTGTGCAGAAAAATTTAGCGTAGACATTAGCTGACAGCTAGTTAAATTAAGTTCTTCTACAAAGCCATCCTTTTCCACTGGTATCACATTTTCAGAAAGTTTTAACACAATTTTGCAATGCATATTTCATCATCAGTTTCAATATTAACATATGAGGTATTTACATAAAATAGTTGACTATTGCTAACAATGCCAATGTTACAGCATACTGCAGTGTGATCATGGTGTAAGCAGTTTCATTCCAGAATAAATTGGTAAGAATTAGAGAAGTATTTGCTATTCCTTTCTAACAGATGTGGCCCATGCTCATACACAAGATTATTATTATGGACAAATATCACTACAATTAGCCATGATTTGGTATTTCTGGGTTCCAAATCTGTTGGAGACAAACTCAGTCACCCTATCTGGGTTTAAAGGCTTTACACTGAAACTGGTTTCTATTGCATTCTGCCATACAGCAGGACCCAGCTCTGTCCGAGGGTGAGGGCATGTGGTTTTCAGAATAGTTTCCACAGTTCCTAATTGTACTACAGTTATATCTCATTCAGGTCTATTCTTGGAGCGAAGGCAGTTATAGTCCATCGGTGAAAATTATCAGTGCCTCTAGAGAACTTCCATAAGTTATGATGTCTACAAGATTTCCTTCAGGGTTGCTCTTGTGCCTATTCAAATAAAACAGCTTTTGCTTCCTTCTGCATCAAAACAGCCAATAGGGGCTGGGCTCAGTGGCTCACGCCTGTAATTCCTGCACTTCAGGAGCTAAGGTAGGTGGATCAACTGAGCTCAGGAGTTCGAGATCAATCTAGGCAACATGGCGAAACCTCGTCACTACTAAAATATAAAAATTAGCTGAGCATGGCGGGCACACACCTGCAATCCCAGCTACTCAGGAGGCTAAGGCAGGAGAATCACTTGAAAATGGGAGGCAGAGGTTGCAGTGAGTTGAGATCATGCCATTGCACTTTTTCTAAAAGATTTATGTCTTCAGTTTGTATGTATAGGTCTATAGTATTCCATTTAAAGTGGCATTTATTCTAGCAGAAGACAAAAAAAAAAAAAAAAAAAAAAAAGCCAAGTGCTACATTTTGCAGGGGGCGCTCTTCCCTCCCCATGGTTCCCTTTGAAATGTCTCACATAAGCTTGTCTTTCCTCAGTGCCCTCCTCAGGGCGCCCTTGACCTCTGCATTCCTCAGGCTGTAGATTAGGGGGTTCAGCATCAGGTTGAAAAGACTGTAAAACAGGGAAAGAACTTTCTGCTGTGCCTCAGGATGGGGGGACTTGGGGGCCATGTACATGACGATGGCACTGCCAAAGAAGAGCCCCACCACGCAGAGGTGGGAGAAGCAGGTGGAGAAGGCCTTTCTGCGGCCCTCCCCGGACTGGATCCTCAGAATGGCTGCCAGGATGCGCCAGTAGGAGACCAGCACCAGGCACAGCGGCCCCACCAGGATGAAAACACAGGCTGCAAAGATGACCACCTGGTTGAGCCTAGTGTCGGCACAAGCCAGCTTGAGAACAGACAGGATTTCACAGAAGAAGTGGTTGATCTCATGAGGCCCACAGAAGGGCAGCCTCAGCATGAGAATTAAATGGCCTAGAGCCAGGAAAAAGCTGAACACCCAGGAAGCCACAGCCAGGACAGAGCACACTCTCCAGCTCATGAGGACATGGTAACGTAGGGGGCGGGAGATGGCCACATAGCGATCATAGGACATCACTATCAAAATCAGACACTCTATGTGAGCAAAAGCCAAATACAAGAATGTCTGCATTATACATGACACAAAGGAGATGGCTCCTTTCTTGTTCACAAGATTCATCAGCATCTTGGGAACATTGCTGGAAGCATAGGACATGTCAACAATGGCAAGATGTGAGAGGAAGAAGTACATAGGGGTGTGAAGCTTAGAGTCCAGGCAGATAATCCCAAAGATGAGCCCATTCCCCAGCAGGGTGAGTGTGTACAAGACAGAGAAAAGTCCACAGAGGAGAATCTCCAGTGCTGGACTAAACTGGAATCCCAGGAGGGTGACGTCTGTGATCCCTGTCTGGTTGCCACCCACGCTCTTGTGGCAGAGAAAGACAAATCCTCATCTAGGACAGGAAGGTCAGAGCTGTGGGCCAGTCAGAAATGCTCAGAGGGGGCACTTAGAAATGCATTACTTTGAATGAATTTTCTAGAATTTATTCTCAGATATATTGCCAAAACTAATCAGGTTGTGCTCATAACAAGGAGAAAAAAATCACATTATATCAATGGAATAAGAATATATATATGTATGTATGTATATGTGTGTATATATATATGTGTGTGTGTGTTTACATACACATATATGACATTTAGTAAAATATGATAACGTAACAGGATCTATTATAATATACCCTACATAAGAGGATACACATGCACATGTGTTATTTTGAAGAACTCAAGTATTCCAGCTTCCCTTTCAGTGTGAGACCTTGATTATTACGTAGTTTGAGAAGAGGGGACCATGACAGATGTTGCAGTATGAGGCGGTTTCGCTTGCTAGTCCTGCTTGCCTTCTCCATCTGAGATGCGTAGGGACTGGAACCCTCTGTTTGCTGTGGGCTTGCACATTGTCCCTCACCTCCACACAGGCTTTTCTACCTTACTTATATGAAATCTTATTTCAGATTTGAAATCCCTTCTAAGTAACTTTCAGTTTTGTAGTTTATTTATAACAGTCTAAGGTAAGATACTTCTTTACAGAAACTAGCCAGTACTCCCTAGCAGCTCCTCCAGGTGCCTCTTTTCCATATCTGGTGTTTGTAGTGTCATTTTGAGAGTTTTCCTTACTTCTTCATCAGCATCTGTTATTGTAAATTAGGCAAGAGTGAAAGAATTCTTGACTACATATAATAAATACATGTATATATCTTTCAAATAACTAAGCATGATGACACTTCTGAGGTCTTTTAAATAAGAAACTAAAGAAAAATCAATTTACATTAACAGTGGTTACAATTAAAAATGACTGCTGTATTGTAATTGTATTTTCTTGGGCTCTTGTCTCGATTATAACTTAATATGTTGACATCTCTCAGAGCTTATCTTACTTTCTAGTGTGACAGTATCTTTTGTCATCAATATATTCCCAACTATGGCAACTCGGGTTGCTCTCGGTTCCCCTAACTGCATTCTTTTCCATCACCTGTGACCATGCCAGCAGCCTGCTGCTGTTGAGATGGATACTGAGCAGGTGACAGGGATGGGATCAAGTGCAGCCTCAGCTGGGGAGTTCTTTCTAAGGAGCTCTTCCTGGAAGGCTCTGGGTCGGTCCAGCCAGCAGCGGGTGACCAAGGGCCATGGGAAGGATGGATGGCTCATCAAGTGGAGAAACCATGTGACCTGATGCTGTTCTGTTACACTTCACATTTATTCCAGAGACAGACTGAGGACTGTATTTATTTTCAAATCAGGCCAAAGATTCAAATCTAACAGGATAATTTAAAAAACAATTTTGATATTTTTTATTTTAGTAAATACATAGATCCTCAAATTTATGTATTACAGTAGGATTATATTATATAGAGCATTTTAAAATTACTATTTTCACTTGATATAATACTTTTCATGTATCAAAATTATATTTTATGGATATTATTTAAAAGTGGCACAATATTCTGCCACATTTATTAAATTTCTTATTGTTGGAAATTTTTTATCGTATTTCTTATTTTTATTGGCATTGAGATACATTTTCTCAAAGTTCATAATTATTTATTAGAACTTATTCTAAAGGTAAAATTGCAGATGTTATAGATATAGACATTTCAAAGGTTTTTATCCCTATTTTAGCTTCCATCTAGAAAATTTGACCAACTTCAATTCCCTCTAACAGTGTGTAAGAATCATGTCTCTTGCCACATGGTCAGTACTGGGCATTACCAGTGACAATCTCTGTTAATTTAACAAATGAACAATATTATGTAGTTTATATTTGTATTTCATCCATCTTTTAATGAATGATCCTTGAGTGTATGATCTGTTTCAGCCATTGTTCTAAGCTTTAGAGGCACAGTTGTGGACAACGTAAACACATTCTGAAAGGGAGACAGATTAGAAAAAAGTAGTATTAAGATGATGTAATTCTCTTTCACACCTCACATTTCTATTTAGGGAAGGAAACCTCTATACCCCTGGATAAAATTGATTTACAGTATACCTGACTCTCTCTGTCCCCTAATTAATAAAATATTTTTTTGAATTTTATTTGATTCTCATATATGTTATTCAACTTATTTTTTCTGGACTTGGAGCGGAGAGAGGGTATGATTCACTACCACCCTGTAAGACCAGGAGTAAACAAGTAAAGATAATTGCTGAGCATGACAAGAATAATGAAGGAAATAATCTAGGCAAAATAATAAGACAGTTACTTGATTTGAGGGGTGTTTCCTTTAGATGGGATGGTTGGAAAAGATCTCTCTTAAGAGGAGACACATGAGTGGCATCTAAATAATGAAGGTCACAACCCTGCCTAGAGCCAAAGGAGGACCATTCTCTATAGAGGGGACAGTCATGGAAAAGTAGAGCAGTCTCTGAACAGGAAGCACTTGGTGAGTTCTGGGAAGAGAAAGAAAGAAACACAATGTACCTGAACCACGGTGAGCAAGAGGTTGTACTTATTCTTTGTAACCTTGTTTATATTTTTAACAATCTGAAATTGACATAAAGATTCATAAGTTTAGCTGATAAACATACTTTTGACATTATATTATTTACTTAAAGATTCATGCAAGCAGAATACAGTTAAAAGATATATACAGAACTTCCAATGAACAGATATTTGAAATAGAAAACTGTCCAATTTTCTGCACAATATAATTTTAATGTCAGAATGGTATTGGTCAATTTTGGACATAGCAAATGTTCTGTTAATGTCCTAAAGAATCAAGCTGAAAACGAGAAGTCTTTTATCCCTGAAACCTCCAGAGACATGGATATTTTGCCTATTTTTAGACCCTTCTGGCTCCCATCTCTGGTGTCCACCACTCAGGACCAGTGAGCTAGGCAGCAGGGATTTGGATGTTTCCGGAGTTAAAAAAAAAAAAAAAATCTAATCATTATCAAATAAATACAATTGTTTGGTTAATCTAAATTCATAATCAAGCCATTCTGGGTTTATAGTTTTATTTGTGATTTTTTTAAGCTAAAGAATTTCTGGAAAAACTCCCAGCAGCCTAGAACAAACTATTTCTAAAGAGCAGAAATAAAGAAAGGAACAAATAGAATTCTTAGTGAAAGTCAAATTTAATCAAATGTGAACTACATCCAAACTATATAAAACTCCAGCTATCAATTGTGCATTTAGCAGCTTTGTACAAGAGGCCACAAGGAGAAAAGTCCATAAGGGTGGCTGCCTACATGCAGAAATTGTCAATCAGTTCATTTGTGAAGTTAAGAAAGGTAAACAAATATATATCGTATAGGAGGAAAATAGTTTTTTTCCTTTCATTAATTGGCATACTTTTGTATTTTGGATTGTACAGTTCAAGTAGTCATATTTTTTTTCTTTTAGAAAAAGGCTGTGGCAGATTCATTAAAGAATCAGATACCTGAAATGAATATTTATATAATTTTCCACTACAATACATACTACAGAACAATCTTCAGTGGATGGAATAAGGGAAAAAACTTCATGGGTATATGTTTCTGTTCTTAAAGAGTAAAGTAAATTTAGCAGTGACTAAAAATACATATATGTTCTCTGAATAAGAATGAAAGCAACAAGAGTAACAATGTTGGCCACAGCACTATTCCATCCTTGATTCTGAACAGTGAACATGACACATTTGGGTCATGTATTCCACGGCTCATCATTGTCATTTGTAAAATGTTGACAGCAGATACTAAAAGGGTTGATGTGAAGAAGAAATAGCTTTGCACTGGTACATTAAAAGAACTTAATAAATGCTAGCTGTTACTAATAGCATTAGAGAGATTGTAAAATTGAGGGAAGTATTCAAGCATAGGAATCTGAAACCCAGTGCAATCATCATGGTGCTGCAAACACTTCCACATTTACCTTGCTTTCCTTTTTGGCTTTTTTCGAGTTTAAACATAAGACACACATTTTGCTTTGATTCCCTAATAGAAATGTACCTATATTTTGATTTTTAAAATTGAAAAGCAATTTAAAGAAATAGAAGAATCCCTTAACTATGCTCCCTCAATGAAGAAAAAAAAAATACAGGCTGTAAAAGTAAAAGGTCAATTCTACCATTCTTTTTTTTTTTTTTTTTTTTTTGAGACAGAGTTTTGCTCTTGTTACCCAGGCTGGAGTGCAATGGCGTGGTCTTGGCTCATCGCAACCTCCACTTCCTGGGTTCAGGCAATTCTCCTGCCTCAGCCTCCTGAGTAGCTGGCATTACAGGCACGCGCCACCATGCCCAGCTAATTTTTGTATTTTTAATAGAGACGGGGTTTCACCATGTTGACCAGGATGGTCTCGATCTCTTGACCTCGTGATCCACCCGCCTCGGCCTCCCAAAGTGCTGAGATTATAGACGTGAGCCACCGCGCCCAGCCAATTCTACCATTCTTAAATATCCCAATGATAGAGAGAGGATTAACTTTTTGGAAAGAAAAGCGGACAATTTTAGGGTATTTAGCACTGACACAAAAGGAAAGATTCTACTGAAATTTTTCTCAGAATGGGGGCCCTGGGGCCACCAACAATGGGGTTTTGGGGAGCACTGATTTGTCAGATCTTTGGCATTACTCAGAAATAAATTGCTATCTCCAGCAATTTACTTTGACATTGAGCTTAGTCCTAGGGAGCAGCCTAGTTTTAAAAACTAACAAGCATGGATTCCAGAGCCCTGCAGCCTGGGTTCAGATCCTGGTTCTGCTACATACTAGCTTTATGACTTCTCTGTGCTTCTTCATGCCTCAGTTCCCCCATCTGCAAAATGGAGTGAGTAATAAATTCTGTCTCATAACATAGTTGTGAGGATTAAATGCATTAACTCACATAAGGAGTTTTTTAGATATATAATTAAGGATATGAGAACGGTCATTGGTAAGAATGTCTGGATCTAATCATCATAAGGAGACATGTTATATGCTCAATGGCTCCTCTACTAAAATAAGAAAAAAGAAAAG